GTTGCGGAGGACGCGGAGTACAGAAAAGTGCGTTTTCATTGGCCTGGCTAGCGGAGGAATTAATCCACCGGAATAAATTTATAATACTTTATTTGTTCCGGACGGAGGACTTGGTGGAGGAGTCTACCGGGAAAGTGAGTCTGCGCAGGATTCGTGCAGAATTGATGCAGGGATGCGCGAGAGCGACCAACTTTCGTCCTGCCGCAGTATGGTCTGCCATTGGCCTACAGTCCTAGAGCTTAAACAAAACATGACCGAGGCGGCCAGTTATGGAAAATGGGAGCCAAGCGTATTGAAAGTAACCACACTGCTTACTGTTGGGGTTCTTTGCTTTTGAGGGCCACGGCTGGCAAAGCAGGGAGTCTAGGTTTGAAGATGTAGGGGCTGAAGGTCTAGGATTCCCTGCTTGCATCTGATTGCCGGGCAATGTACGCTCGTGGTGCATGTCTGTTTCGCCCAGCCAAGCCTCGTCCGCTGCGACGGCCACGAACGATGATGCAGAAACAGAGTCCACAGTAGTGGCCTGGAAATCCTCAAACCTTGCAAGGCAAAAGAAAGCAGCTTAACTAGTGGTATCAAATGTTTTGATAGGCATAATGAGCCAGCATTACTGTCGTAATTACATATGCCAGTGCTAGTGCTAGGAGCAGCAACGGCAGCAGTAACAGTAGCAGTAGAACTGCAGCAGCCCGAGAGGTAACAGAACAGGCCTCGAGATTCCTGGAACGAATTTTCAGGGCTTGTGCAATAAGAGATCGGACCAGGCTGGACTTTCACACGAACCCATCTGGCCCACTCTTCCACCTGGGAGTTAAGTTGGTCACCTAAATTTTACTCAGAAGATGCGGCTATCTCCATCTGCGAAGTACCGAGCAAGGAGGCACAGCCTGAGGCCCGCACGCATCTTCACGGAGTGAATCTTCCACCTCCACCGCATTCCAAAAGCAAAGCTAGGACCTCTAACACCTCTCTCACGGACCTTTGAACAGTATGTCAGAAAAGGACAGGCTTAAAAGTGGTCCAGGTTCCGCTTGGCCTTGCCAACTCGACGCTCGAGAATGGAGGCGGTCTGGATCAACTCCACCTTTCTCTGAGTCCGTGTTGAGGCAAGCTCTAGTCTGAAGAGCGGGTAGAGTTCTGAAATCAAAGGTTGCGCCTTCACAGTTTATGGAGTTTGGTGGCTTATGGGGCTGCAGTGCTCAGTCTATCTGATGCCAACGTAGCCAAACTGGGCGGGGGACACAGCTGTCCCTGGCCTTGAAAGCTGCCTATCACATCATCAAGGCTTCACTGGGACACTCCTAAAAAAGTCATATGTAGGCTTCCAGTAGGGCATGTAGAAAGTTCGATAGAAGATATTACTCTTTTTATTAGCTCTATCAGGCCCCGAGAACCCTTCGCGTTGAGGTTCCAGCTGTCGCAGGGGGGAGGACTCACGGTCAGGACCTATGACAGATTCCTGCCCACTAAGCCACTGAGCCTGAACGCCCTGAACTTCATGAAGCCACACAATTCCTGAAGCTATTGCACTGTGAACCCTTGAGAATCTTCCCGCCGAAGCATGAACTCGAACCCTTACACTCAGGACATCGAACCAACCGAGAGAGAAAGTTGCATCTGTGAAACTGCGGCTTAGACTGGTGACTCCAAAGCACACACGCTGTGTTAGGATTTCATGATTCTGCAATCTGAGTCCGAATCGACAAGCCCGAAACAAAACCCCGAGTCCCAAGCCGAGCGAGCCCATCACTGCCTGAACCTCGCAGTGGTCATCGAGGCAACCAACGCGCGGTGCCTTAGTGGTTTCTTGTGCAAGATGCGCAGGGTCCAGTACGACTGCATTCAGGAGTCTTGCTATGCGAGGAGGACTCTGTGCATGAACAGCGCAAACAGAAAACTTACACCTCTGGCATTTGAGTTTGGCTGGAGCTCTTTCTCAAGCTTGTAGGTATATCTTCGGAGTATGTTCTTCCCTTCCCAGTCTCTCTGAGGGCACCTGCAAGTACGCACAACACCCAGTACCAGCATTGTCTCCACATCATGCCTTGCATCCCTCAAAAGATCTTACGTAGTTCAAGATCATGACGAGGCGCCCAGGGCTCTGATACGCTTGCAGAAGCGAGCCCCGCAAGCAGGAGGCGGCCGGCGACGCGGCGCATGGGGTCTCTCACCGCGCGACAGACATGTAGGTTCGGTTTGCAGGCCCGGGGTCCGCCAATAGATTGCAACCACTGCAGATATGCTCACGGTGTTGATCCAAAAATTGTGTGGCAAGCATATGGGAAAATGCTAGTAGAATTGAACCAAACAATCACGCATACTGGATACCAATCTTGTGTTGCGCATAAGTCCGTAGCGTAACCTGTGCCGTTGCACTGCAAGATTCGACCTTGGCTGTGGGATCTACCCAGTTGGCGTCTTGGTTCTGACCCCGGCCGATGGCAGACTTGAGCCACAAGGAGCCAAAAGTATGGTACAAGTCTCTTCTTTTTATGTTAACCACGCAGCTTCAGTACAGAATTCTGAATCGGCTCCTCTACTACTTCTTCTTGTTATTCACACTATCCTGATGCAAGATGAAGCAGGGAAACGTTGCCCTCGTTAGTGGTCCCTGCTGCACATAGTATGGCACAGACGAGAGATAATTGCAAAGTTTCGCGTTAAAATCCTTAACAATATGCTACCCAACAAGGGAACCTCATATCCTCTGTGAGCACACGCCTTGTGACTTTGTTTCTGCTGCAAATGCATTCATGCCACAGCATCCTTCCTCCGTCTTAGAGAATTCTGCGCTAAGCTGGAGGACCCTCCCTGCACGAACTGAGGACTGGTAGAATGTCTCAGGCTAAGGGTTTAGGATAGAGGTAGGGCTAAAATGTCATCTGGGACCTTCAAGATCCTAGCGTCCTGCTAGAAGCACAGGGGCCAGCACCCTCAGGGTAGGAAGTTCGCCACTCCAGCTTGAATCTTTGCCAAGTGCCTCGGTTGCAGAATTGCTCAACCCGAAACACTAAGCTCTGCTTTGGCTTTCAGGGGAGTCTACTTGTATTCATCCACATCTTTGAAACATCTTTGTCCCTGAGACTTGAGCAGTTGGACCGTCCTGACCGCGGGTTTCTATGACCCGGAAAAGAAGTTGGAGCCCCGCCTTAGGCCTGTTTCCACGCGACGGCCCCAAAAGAATCGAAACCTGTGGTAAAGTGCAAGTTCGGCGTCGACTGAGAATCTCTATCAATACTTTCGAGCATCTTCTTCGAATCCATGTGAAAAGTCCGCTCTAAAGTCTTGAAGCTATCCCCCTAGATCTCAGACACCCAGGTGCTCAGCGGGAGTTCCCTCCATGGTGGCGATGGCTCGCGCGCATTCTGGCCCTGTTGCTTTCGCTATCTTCTCGATGTTGGCAAGGATAGACTTGTCATCCTCTCCTGCATGCAACTTAGGTGCAAAGAAGGCTGGCTTGCGGCGTGGGATGTGGCATACGCGAGTACAGGCCAACCCTCTCCTGATGCGTCATTTTTTTGCAGAGTCGTGTTGACCTTTGACATGCATTTCTTGCCCTCGGGTGTATTCCAGAACTCCGTGAAGGAGGTGGAAGCTCGTCTTGCCGGCTCGAAAGCTGCCTGGCAATCCCCGACATGGTTGGTCGCTGTTGCGGGACATCTGCAAAAAGAGGCGATGAATTTCAAGATGAAAACAGGATCCTTTCAAGGCACTGGTGCAACTGTGCGGGACTGCAGGAATAGAACCTGCGTATTTCCTACCCTAGTCACTGCCCTGGTCCCGATATCCCCTCCGAATGCTTTCCGACCCTCACCCCCCACAAAATTATGTAACCCCATCTACCCCTAAGCAATTCCTTCAAAGCCCTTCCAACATACTTTACTTCACGTCACCTCGCCGAAGAAGCTGCTCAAAGGCGCGCGCTGACAAAGATTGACCTGAGGGTAAACTAGCGTCCAGGGTTTGGGGTTCGGGGTATGGCTTTCTAAAAAGCTCGGTATGCTTCTGGCTTTGGGTTGGCGTCTACAGATCCTGATTCTGGATTGGGATATGGGGTGTGGAAACTGCAGAGATTGACCTGAGGGCGATGTAGAGGTTTAGGGGCAGCTATAACTGGAATATGACCTACATGAATTAAAGTATAACAAATTCAAGTTATTCTTGTGATGACCTCTTCTTGGGTACTGCATTCAAAGTTTCTGCATCATTTGAGGATCTAAGATTTGGATGTTTGCCAAAATGAGGGCACCGCAATATAGACGCCAGAATACTATAATGATGATCTCACGTTTAGCTAGGTCTCGATTCTGACCAGGTTTCGCCTCCCCTTGATCACCCAGTCTTGGCAAGAGTCAGAAGCATGTGGGCCGCGGTTTAAGCCCAAACCCTGAACCCGAACTCTCCACTGTAAAACCAAGTCATACAAGTGAGGAAGGGTCCCCTCTATGCGTCCCGAATCATGAAGCAGTTCCTCAGTCTCGCCGCCAATCGCCAAAACCATCATCTCCATAAGCATTGTAATCCATGTTGTAAGTCGTCATGCAAAAATCTCCTCAACCCCAAAAGTGTCAAATGCTCCCAGCTACACAACACCTAAATCGGAGTTTCCCAAAATCACGGTAAAAGGAGTCCCTGCACAATAAGGATGGTCCTCTACATTTGACATCGCAAGCCGCTTCTTTTTTTGTCAGCTTCCTTTGTGGTACCGTTTCGATCTACCGCGGACCAGGACAAGATGCATCAGCTCAAGTTGCTCCTGCTGCCCCTCATACTCTTATTGCTGTCACCAACATCCAGCTTGCGTCCCAGCTGCGGGTAAACCAGTGTAGAGCGGAAGCTCATCAAGGCACAGGCCATGCGTGCCGGGCATGCTTGCAGCTCTGGCGGGTACTACAGCAACGCCTCAAACCCTGAGCCCCTTGAATCAAAAACCCAAAGTCTAAACCTTGGCACAGCTCCAATACTAGGGCCTATACCCCGGCCCATGACTCTTAGAGATTCTAAAGCACAAGCTCTGAAGCCCTTGACCTCCTTATGGACATAGCACCTAGCCCTGCCCATGGTAACATCTACGCCTTGTCCTGCGTACTCCAGGTCTATTCTAGTAGAAACATATTCATGTGGATAGCTCCGACATCATGCGAGCTTCGTGCTGCGGAACATGTTGAGGGTCAAGGCAGGGACAGATGTGTATTTCAAGAGAGTGACAGTTTGAAGGTCCCAAAACCACAGGGTGTACCCAATGGGTAAGGATGGAAGGATTTCGTGGCAGAGATTCGGCGTTTTTCGGAGTACACTGCCATCAGATGTATGCCAAGCAGAATTCAATCGCAAGAGACATACTCCTCCTAAACAAAAGAGCAAGCTCATCGACTTCCATGTATCCCACATGGCATGATGCACGAGGAGTCCAATCCATTTCACACCGCTGGCACCCTAGAAGCCTCCTGACCTCCGCACAGCCAGGAAGAACTTCAGCACAAACCAAACAGCCGCCCCCAAGGCAGCCCCCAGGAGGAAGTTGCGTATCACCATCTCGTTAAAGCGCCACTCCAGCTCCTCTCTCATTGTTGCGCCGCTCAAAAGTTGCAAGAACCTGCCCTACAGCTAAACACCCATGGTCTCTGCTTCCCATTACATGCAATGCCTAGGCCCTGACCAGCCTTCAGCCACTGCTGACGCATGAAATCTTAGGCCCTTAACTACTGTAATTCCTGGGACTTTAGGGGCTCAAGGGTGGTGCAAGATTTCCTCCATCAACAGCATCATCCATTACTTACAGCACCTCCATCGAGGAAGAGGTCACAGCATGGTTACCTAATCCTCCCATTGAAACATCTATCAGTCCCTACAGAAATCCTTTACAACCATGCATACAAACATAGAATCGCGCTAGAGTCCTGATGCCTTCCCCTGTTCATGAAAACCTTCCAACCCTAAATGATACGGCGTCCCTACTCTGATTTACAATATGGCAATGCGTTGGGCACACTGATTATTGGAGGGTTGAATTCCTAGTAGGAGGTGCTTCCATAACTCCTTCCATGAGCCATAGCCTACACTCCAAGTATCCCCCTTAATAGCCCTATAGTAGTCCCCTAAATAATCCCCTTCATAACTGCCTTTAAGGAGTTTAGACTATAGCTTACATGGCAGGTTTAGACTCCTCCGGTGTGGCCATCTGCCCCGAGCGCACAGCCATCTCTTCGATGCTGGTATCTTTCAGGACTTGCCAGTACCAGGTGACCGGATCCTTAGGCGGAGTTGCACCTTGAAAGACCCCCCAGGTTTTTGGGAATAGGTGCCCTCACGAGGAGGGAAAGTAGCAAGTATCGCCCTGTGCCCCCTCATCAGGAGTTAGGGCCTTCAAGGTTCCGGAATCCTATGTTTTGCCTGTAGTGGTGTGGGATTTAGGCCATTGTCAAACATTGTGCATTCAAGTCCAGGGCTTGGGGATCTGAAAATCTCGACACTCCTGGCTTCAATCTGCAGTTCAATTCCGATGCGTCCGGCATGAAGGTTCCCGTACCCCAGGCTGCGCGGACCGCGCATCCCGCGCAACTTGCTGCATGGCAGACACGGCGCTTCTATCGAAACAATCCACGAACATCCAGAAAAAAAAAAGGCCTGACAGCGCAAGCACCATTCTCATGCTTCCTGCGAGAATAACCGTCATTTCCAAACAATAGACCAAAAAGCCCAAACCCAAACCCGAAGCCTAAAACCCCACACCTGAACCCCCAAAGCCTAGCCCCACTATGCAGGAGTTTCCTAAAATTAGGGGAACCATTCTGGGGGTCCCCATGATTAGGTTTATCATATGTTGGGGTCATATTCGGGTCCGCCTATTTATGTATAACCCTAATATAAACCCTGTATAATCCCCGTAATCCCTATAGTTTCCATTTTCTTTTCTATTTTGCCTATACGGGAACTACCAATGTAAGGCCCAGGTTCTGCCTCGCGGCGACGCGCGGTAAGCAGCTCGTATCTTGCGATGGCATCTAGGATCCTCAGAAGCGCGGCTTTTGATTTGGGTTTTTACGGCTGCCATGCGCTTCCCAGTCGATTAGGGTTCAGGGTTTAGGGTGTGCGGGGCTTTGAAGTACATACATGAAGGGAAGTTCCCCAAATTTGGGTCCCATTTTTGAACCCCTACACATTAGGTGCCGTACTTGTAATATACTGTATGACCCAAAGGGGCCCATTGTTGTGAGAATAACCCATGTAGAGTTTAGAGCTGTTTAGGATTTGGGGCTTAAGGAGAGTGTGGATTTTTTGTCGGGTCTTGGGTGCTGCAAGTGTCTGCTATCTGAGTCCGAGCCTCCGGCTGCAAGAGTTTGGGGTTTGGACGCAAGCCCTCACATGTGAAGGCGATCATTCTCTCGAAATGACTTCGAAACCTCTATTGGTTCCCCAGTCTTCCAAACTTGAAGTTTTTGAGCAGCACGTTAATCAGAACATCTTTTCTAAAAAATCTTCCAAACAAAGACCTAGGAGTCTCGTAGCCTGCATCGATGACCTCCTCATGGCGAACCACCTGAGGCAGTCCCTTCGTTTGCGGAATTCCTAGAAGGTCCTCGCCCCACCCCACATATTCTGCGGGAACAAGGCGGCTTACAAAGGACCACTGGCCCCTCCGCGCCTTGCCCTCTGAGTTCAGGGTTAGCTCAGCCACCAGCTGTGTCTCCACACGCACCTGAAAGTGAGGGTGAAGGCTTCGGAGTTGAAGCTAAGCTTGGGGTTTAGCTTGGTTTAGGGTTCCGGACTGTGGCGCCCAAGAGCCTGGTCCAAACACAGGGTGAGCGGCAATAATCGCTGACAAGGCTGAGGATCCGTATTGGAGAGGGATTCGGAAGGACTGCGATCAAAATCCTATTATAGACCTCTTTACAACTTGAAAATTTTGCCATCCACAACTTCTCAAGTTTCATGTACCCTTCTATACCAGTGTTTCCAGACACCCAGATAGGCCTTTCACCGTCCCGGCCTAGCCCCCACCAAGCACGGAGGGTCTCCAATGCAATACTCCCAAAAAAAATCTCTCTAACGTTGACCTGTGAATCACAAAGTCGCCGTACTCAAAAAAATCCAGGGCCCGCAACGTACCACTAAACCCTCCCATACTTAAAAAGAATCCCAGGCCGAACTTCAGATTCAGGGGTTGAGGTTTCAATTAGCCTTTGGTCCTGAGAAGGTCCCACGCGTGATTCAAGGTTCAGGGGTGATTGACTTAATCGCCCCTGAAGCGAGGGGAGGTGAGAGGTCGACATCATCCAGGACTCTCTTAGTTTCTGCATTACCATTTGGCAAGCCCTATAATCATCCCCTGTATAGTCCCCTACAAGAACCCGGTTTAAGGAGTTTAGATTATGGCTAATATGACGATGAAATCCTTGCAGTAGTTCATGCAGGCCTTGGCTCCCGGTAGCAGTGGAGCATCCTCAGGAAGCTCACGAAGCTTCCACGAAGGCGGCAGGGGAGCCACGAAGCTCACCCTCCACCTGTAAGCATCGCAATTTCTTGAAGGGAGGGAGAGTCCCCCACTTCTTGGGCAGCCCTTTGTATGATATGAAGCAGGGAAGCGCTAATCCGAAGAAGAACAAAAGCAACCAAGATGATAGGAGGGAAATAAGAGCTGCAACGAAAACAGCAAGTCCCTTCCCCCGCCTCGCGGTGACGACGCCGGGATTCAGCTGCCAGGCTTCCCGATTCAAGACCTCGAAGTCCTCCAACCTTTCCTGAGTAAGTTATACGAGCGTTCCACAGAGTTTGGAGGAGATATATATATATATACACACACACATATATATATAACCATCTGGCAAACTGCCTAGAAATTCCACAAGACAGGTGCGGGGTCATGTTCGAATCACAACAAACTGGATTTGAAGGTTGCGATATACTGCTGTGCTAGTAGGCGGTATTTAGGGGGCATTCCGCTTCTAGCTGTTCAACACCGATGACCAACTGCTTCATGAAGCGCGTTGCTTGGCTGGCAGGTTTGGAAGGAATGGCACTCCCATGCAGAATCTCGGTCTCATAAAAATGCGTTAAAACTGCAGATCAAAGTCCCGTGGGATCACGCATGATTTCTGACCTCTAGCGAAACTTATCGTCCTGGAGCCTTTTGAAGAAAGTCCAATGTTGCTTCTAGCTACTGACATCTACTGACCAATCCAACTGCAAAGAGGCACGATGCTCCATAGGAACAACTTCGTGCAGCACCCTTTGAAATCAAGGTTTTCATCATCAGAACCCATTTGAAATTCAGCCCTAGTTGCCGGAACTAGCTGCTGCCAGTCTTTCATGGCTGAGAGGTAGCTCTCACGGCCCTGGCAAGTTGCCAACAGGCCGTCGTAGCTAATGTCATCCGCGATCAGCGATGCGTCTGTGAGGAAGGGCAAGCTCTTTGCCAACAGTTCCTGTAAGGCAAACACGGCTTGTCATTATATCGGCGGCGGCAGCAACCGCGGCGGCTGTGCTGGTGGGCGGCGGGCGGTGGCGGCGGGGCGCGGTAGCGATGGCGGCGGTCGTGGCAGTGGCGGCAGCGGAAGGTGGCAGCGGTGGCCGTGGTGGCATGTCATGCGCAGGTATAACTAGACGGCGCTGAAGCGGGGCAGCTACGAAAATACTAAAACAACAATTCATATCGCTGACTGGCAGAATAGGTTACACATCTACAAGATGCGCAACTATGCAGCAGTGCTAGGGCTTCGAAAAAGCTGCCAAGATTCGCTGAGGGAGCAACAACACGATTATTCGCCTAACCCATAAGGACTCCCCTGAGCAAACGATGCTTATGGGACCTGCTCCGGGCCTGTACTCTCTTTACTTTCCGCACTGTTTCACCTTCCGATTTCGGTTTCCTGTAACCTGTCGTGTCACCACTAAAGTTTCTGGGACATTTGGCACTAAAGCCTAGAACGCTAGAGCCCTGAATCCCAACACCCAACCTCCCAACCACCCCGGGGCATCCTCCGGGCTTTCCTTTCCTGGCTCCGTGCGCTCGGAGTTCTGCGCCAAGAAGCGCCTGTGAGTCAGGAAGCAACGGAGAGGGTGGAGTCTCGGATTTGAACCATGATCTCCTAGCATGGGCCCTGAATCTCGTGGTCCTTGTATACCTAGCCTATCGCGTACCTCTTGTAGGGGGCAAGGTTAGGACCTTAGATGAAGGAGAGTGTCCGGCTTCGTGCGGCAGGCCGCACAGATCTCTATCCCCTCCCTGGCAGTCCCATGACATATCTTCGCGCTGCGATTCCCTACGAAAGCCTGATCTGCTAACCGCCTTAGCCTTTGTCTGGTACAGGGCGCTTAGCCTGCGCTCGGGGGACCGCCAGGGGCCACCGACGAAAAGGATGTGACATCCTGCACATCTGTACATTTCAAGGAGTTTATAAAAAGGCTGAAGATTCGGCAGTGTCGGGGGTTCAGGATGAGGGTCCGGGGTTAGACGCGCAGTTTGCGGTTGGGAGTTCAGGGTTCTGGATGTGTTGACACGCCGGCTATGGACACTACATACCGGAAATCAACTACCCTAGGTTAAAGCAACGGTCACCCCTCAGGATGGAACCTGGAGACTGATCAAAACATTGGGGCAGCTCTCAAAATTAGAGTCCCATTTTGGAGCCCCTAAATATTAGGTGCAGTGTTATAATCCATAACCAATAGGGACCATAATTTGAAGAACAACCCATTACAGAACCTTGAACAAAAGACGTCATTGTGCTTCCCTTGTTGCAGGCTTTGGCTTCAATAGCTTGGATAGCTGGCGCTCCAAAAGGACTGTGATGAAGTGGGCGAGGAGCTCATTTACGAAGAAAGGAAGAAACAGCTTTAGACCCAGTCCATGAAACCCTGCTCCGGCTCCTAGAAGAGTCGTTAGGGCGGCAGCACACAGCCGCATGGCACAGGATGATGCTAGACTAGGACCTGAGGCGTGTAAGGGGGTCTAGGTTTAGGCCTAGCCTAACCTGACAGCTTCCGTGCAAGTCCAAGTATGCAGGGTAGCATCTACTGGCACCCTTGTCCACAAATGAGGAATGGCACGTCATGATGAAATGCCACAGTTCAGCTAAGCAAGTAGGCACGCTCTGGGTGAAGCTGCGTCTGTGGCATGTGCAGCTCTCGGCGGCAGTACTGCACATTCATGCTTTACTCGGCTATGCTACTAGGACTCTGTTAGCCCTTCAGATGCTGGAGCCGGCAAGGTCACGATTCAGTAGGGCTGCAAGCATGCAAGTATCTGAGCAACATAAACATCAAGGGCACTTTGGGTGTCGCCATTTTAGGAAAGATGCTGCATGTGGAGGGCGTCCCATGCTGTCGGGCGTAGCCACATCTACTGAATTTCAGAGTTCAAGCTGCGCACATTTTGCCAAAGGGGATTGTTCAGTGAGGGCCTGCACGACACGAGTTGACGCTACTAGTCCAGGAGGAGCTTGAGCTATGGATTTCCTGGTGCTTGCAGCATCCTTAGAGCACAGCAGCATCCTAATCAAGGGATCTTGGACTGGGGTTGGAGAAGGTTGTACCCTATCCGTTGTCCTCCACCTGCCAAGACTCTGAACTCTCGCCCTTCCATTGTTGGCCCTCATAAGTGAGGTCATCATCCTCTACACAACGAGCCAAAAAAAGGCACTCCCAACTTTCTTTCCCCAAGTCCGGAGCCTGAGCCCCAAACCGCAGTCCCAAACCCCTGAAACACAATTCCTTCCACTGCCAGGAACTTCCAAAAACATGGTGTTAGGAGGCCTGACGCTGGAGGCTCGTCCACCTGCTCCACAGGTTGATAATAGCACAAAGTTACCTAAAGTGCATGTAGCACATAGACGGAGAATGCACCAGCAAAAAGGAGCGAATGGTGAAGAAAAACCTGTTGTTGATGATGGTGGTGGTGGCAGCCGTGGCGGCCGTGGCAGGAGTACCGAGAACCAGGCTTGGTGGCAATAAGAAGGTCTAGTCTAAAGCGGGAGGTGTAAGGTCCAAGGCGCGCAATTCGCAAACCAAATTTTTCCACTCAGGAATTATGGATCCTTCATACTGCGCCTGCACCACTGTAAATCCTTATGCGATAGCCTAGGATAGCATGCACCTTCCTGCAAGGAGGCCCCACTGCTGTTGGCTCAGTCTTCTGCACTGAAGACCCTGCAAAACCTTCTAGTTGGATGCCTCGAGAAATATTCATAGACCAAGCTTGGAATAAAGAAGGCTCCCTAAACCCTAAACCCTAAACACAGATGCTGCCTGAAACTGCCCAGCTTGATCTTTAGCCCCAATCCTCGACCTTTAACCCCAACACCAACACTTCAAAGATGCGTAAGGCTTAACTGGCTTAAGTTATTGAAGACAGTTTTCAAGTGTACCAGAGGTGTAGACCACAAGCCATTGCTTAGGTTGCTCTGTCACTTACAATTTTAGTTTTCCTTGTTGCTACTCTGCAACCATGAACTAGCAGATGATGGTTGTCATTGCCTCTGCTCTGAGTACAAACCTTGATGTGACACCTGCGGTTACTTCTACTTTATTCGTCTTTCTGGCGTCATTGTCTCTAGTCACTAGGGTTGAGACAAGCATGAGTACGACCCTTTCACTCTTGTGATGCATATGGTAGTTTCCCTGAAAAGGGACCCCAATAGACCCCAAAATACTGTAATCCCTATTATGGGGAAGCCCCCAGAAAGGGTACCCCAATCTTGGGAAACCCCTATATCCTGTTCCGTGCCTGGTTCGCCTTCTCTCGTGGCGAAACGGACCTTGGGCCTTTCTTGCCGCGCGTGACTCGCCTGCTTCCAGGTTTTTTTGAGATGTTGCAGCAGTAGTTAGGATTTTGGTTTCAGGGTTACCATAGTATGGGCATGTAGTGCAAGAATAAGGTTTCCGTATTATATAGGCTGGAATTGCATTTCAAGGATTTCAGAGCTATGCTTGGATTTTCAGAGGTCCACTTCGACACAGAGATCAGGGCTAAGGAGGTTTCAATCAAGCATTGCATTGCAGAATGTTCATCTAGCTTGGATGCAAAATGCCTGGCTCCATATCCATGTGGAGAACATGATCCTTCATCAGCTCCGGAGGATGGCAGCTCAATATAGCCTGACATTGGGATTCCTGCTGCCAGACTTTCGCTCTGTTGCTGAAAAGGGGCTGCGCACTAGTTGACCATATGTAGCGGTACCGAGCGAGCAGATGTTCTTCTGACATGAGCACACGGCGAAGTTCAGTCTCAAACGCCGCCAGCTTTCTGTACACGCGTCCGTCCTGCTTTCGTGCCGATCCCGCCCTTACACGACTACATAATTCAGTACCGGACGAAGAGGCGCCAAGAGGCAGCAAATCAGATCAGAAGATTACATGAAACTCCAAGACGGCGATGGATAACGGACACAAGGGCGGCCAGCCTGTTATCCCCTGGCGGGCGGCGTGTCCTTCCGGATCCGGATGTAGGGTTGCCTGCTGTTCTCATTGTGGCTGGATGGGGTTTCTTGGTGGTTCCCGGACCTACTCTTTTCAACATACGTCCTGCATCGTCTTGTTGCACCAAACCACCAGAAAACTCAAAGGATAGCAAGCTGATGCTGGTACGAACGCCTCGATTGACCTGCTTAAGACACTGCCACACGACGCAGAAGTACAATCGCAGATAAAGGATGGTGGTTCAAGCTAGTGCGAAGGCGCCTGGCTTCCCTTTGAGCTGCATGTCTTGGTGGTAACATTAAACCAGGCTCAGGATTGGAAAGAAGGCATGGTCCTGACAAAAATTTAGTATCCGATGTCCTTTGATGCTAACGTAAAAGCCTCCAGTGTTACCAACATCATTCCTGCACGTCCTCGCATCATTGCAAACAACTATGATATAATCACCACAAAACCTTTTAGGCCCGTGTACCATAGTGGTTGGCATTTTTTGCCCACCATGCCTACATAATCACTACAATCCTTATGTAATCCCTATATATATATATAATAGCATGTTGCGTTGGTTCACTGTGGCCTCGCGCAGCCGTCGCAACATTGGATACATCCTCAGCGGTCGAAGCTGCTACACTGACCCAGCAAAGTTAGTAGGGAATACAAGGGTAATATAGAGCTACATAGGGGCTACATAGGGGTAATGTAGGAAAAATATCGGAATAAAGGAATGTAATCAGGTTCAGTATAGATATGTACATTTTTTGGGTTTCCCAGAATGGGGGGGTGTACCGTGTTGGGGGAGTCCCGGATAGTAATATTTTGGAAATCTACCATATGTAGGTACATAGGGACACTAAAACAATTACCTGTATCCCTTGTGCTCAGTCGGTTGGGGGATCGCCAAATGTCCATTCGGTATCGGTACGAGTCCTGAAAGATTGAGGAACTTAAATCTAGAAGTGTGAGAGATGGTTGCAAGGAGCAGGTAGAAGTGCACCCCTGGGTGGAGAGCCTGCTTCGCCTTTCCATGTACACAGAAGAACTTGCGCAAAGGACGTGGTAACCGCGCTAGCAGGCCGGCGAAGCTGAGTTGTTGTATGTTGGAAGAGCGAGACCAACCGAGATTTGAGTTATTGAGAAACATCTGCATCTGCAGGTTTAAGGAAACCTCATCTTGCTCTCTCCTGCCATGTCAATTCTCCAGTGCCCAAAAAACATGAACAGCCCCTCCAAGCACGGCAAGCTCCAATAAGGAACGAACTGCTGGCCGTGTCGAACTTTTCGACCTGACGAGCAATCATGCAGAGATGACGCCCTGAAAAGGTAAGGATTTGAGGCTTGCGGGCTTAGTTGTCAGAATAATTGACCCGGGCCTGAACATGCCCGCTGCGTTAAGTAAGTGAATACAAGTTTTAGTTAGAAGTGATGTATACAATTTGAATCAGTAGCCCAGGACCTGAGAATTCATTCAATTATGAGGAGCCTCTGACGTGAGAAGTCCCCTAATGAATCGAAGCTTGCTCAATACCGGAATGAGGTTTAAAACAAAACAAAAAAAATCCTAGCCCAGGATTCGAGAATTGCCCAAATGATTCGAAGCGTATTTCGTAAGGGGTTTATACAGCAAAAACGATAGCCCAGAATCTGAGAATTCATTGAATTATTAGAAGCGAGAAAGGCATTTGTACGGAGTACATCAATAGCCGAGGATCCGAGGCTTCCTTTAATAATTTCAAACTCATGAACCAGAATCTCAGAACTCTCTAACCCAGAGAAGCTAGTTTGAATCTCACAAGCACGAGAACGGTGGATCCATGGGGCGAGGGGGTAGCTATATGGCTCATATTGAAACAAGTGCATGTTGGAAACAATGTAAATAAAACGCAGCTGGCATGTTCAGGCCCGGAACTGAAATTTCATATGAGCAGTACTGAGGATGATAAGGGCTGCTCAAG